TACTGATTTACCACGCTGCTAGCGAGGGCCAATTTGCTCCTCTCTTTCCCCCTTTCCTTCCCCTACCCCCTTATAGCAGCGTGGGTCTGTTGGACAGCAGGGAGGAAAGCAAGGAAGGGCATTTCTCTGCCTCATGCTCCCCAGGCGTTTGGGGAATGGATAGTCACCATGTGCCCAGGGTGCTGGTGCATGCCTGGGGTATCTAATATGACTTCTCCTACCCGAAACTGCTCCTTCACGAGGAGCCACCAGGACTGGGGTTTAGGATATGCGGAGGGTCCCCGCGTGCGTCCCCTGCAGCCGCTGCAGGGCTCGTGAGCAGCAGCTCACGGGGCAAACAGCACAGTGATTTTTTTTTTATTTGCAGAACAGACTACAAATCTGGTTTCTTTGGACGAGATCCTATCTCAAGTTGTTGCATTGAAAAAAAACCTCTCAACAAGAGTTGTTTTACCTCCTTCGAGCTGAAGTTGTAATTCACATGGTACAAATACGGTAGTTCCCTACTAAGTTGTTCAGCCAAGTGATAAACACAGATGCTGTGGGACATAACTGGTCAGGCAACTCCTCCAGAGACTTTAAAGGTCCTTTAAATTTTAGGGCTTTCTGCTCACTTTCAACATTACATATGCAAATTTAGCTGCTATTTGAGCTGCAGCAACGGGAGTACCCAGCTGCCATTCCGGATGATAAATATGTTTAGACATAGAGGCTGTTACAGAGGGGAAAAAGCAACCTCCTGGATAGTGATGCAGGGATCATCTCCCAGATATAGGAGGTCATGGTTCAGATCTGCTCTTGTCTGCGCTGTAGTTATAATTTTGTAATACAGCAACGAGCCACAGCCGTGCATGGCGCATGCAGTCACAATCTAACCGTGGACACCGTCAGGCTCCTGTGACAGGGCCCCTGCCCTCCCCTTCCCCACCTTACCCTTGACCTGTGCGTTACTTCAAGGTGCCCCTTGTGCTACGAGACTTTTTTGTCTGCTGATGCTTTTGCCAGTGGTTTGCTCTAAACTGCTGAGGAAAAACCTGTGCTAAGGGAAAAAGTGCCTGTACTAGAGAAAAGATTGTCACCAGTAAATCATTTCTTTTCCTAGTTTCTTTTTCTAAGTGGAACAATTTTCTCATGCTGTAGCCAAAGTATTTCCATTATTTTCTTCAAGAAGCAAATCCCAAATCCATGTGCAGAACTTCCGTAATAACAACAAGGAAGATCTATGTTTGTAAAGTCCTCGTATACACAAAAAAGAACAAAAAGGACATAATCCCTTAAATTCCAAACAAACACTATTTCACAAATACCTGCAAAAACAATATTCTTTTTCTTCACCCCACAACTATTTTGGGTCCAGAATAAGTAGTTTAATAAGTCACAATATACTAATCATGCAAAGTCCCCTAACACCAAACCAAAATAGACCCTGAGCAGGTCTCTGCTCCCTGGTGGAAAGTGTAGGTCTTGTTCTGACTCACGCGGGGAAGTTATTTTCCATAGATACAGAACAGTTACTTAAAGCCTTGCGCTCTTAAAAATATCACACAAGTCTTCCCAAAGTTGAGGTAAAATTGTAAGATCATTTAATGCTACAGTTTGCCAAAAAACAATGTTAAATAGTGAGACTGAATTAGCTGTCCTAGGAAGAATCTTTTACAGTCACTTTCGGGTTACTGGTGGCTGACATTTATTTTATTTGGCAAGAGTCTCAGCATTTGGTTCACACGTAATCTTTTACATTTTACTCCTAGTTGAGTCTCCTGCAAGGCTGGGGCAACCGTCCTTGGGCTGGTCTCTTGAACATGTCGGGTAATGAACATCTACTTTGCTCATTAGATAGTAGCAGCAAAGAGTATTCCTAATGTCTTACAGTTAGCGTGTCACTTATCACAAAACACATCATTACAAATTTCCACAAATTATTCTCAGAAAATAAGAGACTTGCTTTACCTGCATTACAGTTGAAATGCAACTGTACCTGGGGCAGAGCATGGCACCTGAGCAATGGTATGCTGCTGCACCACACCACATTGAGCAGAACTACAACACCCAGTTGAAACGACTGTAGGAGTTTAGGCAGGAAGGATAAAATTATCCAGAAAAAATTAGACTAAGATGTTGGAAATATTATTACTATCTTAAGGAACACCCACTATTCTCAGTTTCTTTCTTTTCCTGTAACAGATGAAGCCAGTCTGGACCTTGGGTTTATGTGCTACCAGCACAGCAGCATTCCCAGGAGCACGGGGTGACAGTCAGGACAGCCATCCTCAGACCTCCAAAACAGGAGTTTCCATCTGAGATGGTCAGCTCGGTTCCTTCACAGTCAGTGAAGAGAAACAGTCACATCTATGGAGTCATTCGCTCCTCCTAAGGCAAGTGTCTTCCTCAGATGACTACCCTGAGGTGAGACAAGCCACTTTCTGGAAGCGCCTAATCAGCTCCATTAACTATAACGGGACTCTAGTGGAGCAGCTCACATGGAGGTTTCTATGGATGGATGTCATAGGCATCTAAATTTGGATGGGTGAATCTCACCCACCCTATAAGAAAACTGGTCCAGCAGAAAGGGCTTTTTTGCAGGTAAGCCTTTCTCTTTCCGGATTTCCTTTCAATGGTCTGGCCTAACGGAACCAATAGTTGCATTTGCACGTAACACAGAATGGATTTGCAATGCTATATTTAACTGTAGATTCTTTAAAGATGCTAAACGTTGACCTGTGCCTACCACTTCACCAAGCAAGAATAAATTAGCATTAAGTAAAAACAAATTATTTTGCCTCTAAGAATCTGTTTTGCTAAATGCCCTAGAGAAGTAATAAATTAAGCTTGCTGCAATGCCAAAGCAATTTCTATTGGCACTTTCCCACTGCAGTGCATACAGCCACATACGCCCGCTGCCTTGGGTGTTTCAGGGTCCTGGTGCTTCTTTGGCAGGCTTGCTTTTCTTTGCCAGTGCAGGGAGACTGTTGAGATCTTCTTGTTCAGTAATGTTGTGATCAGAGCTGTCATGAGAATAGTCCTTCATAACACTGTAGTACACTGGAGCAGTGTATGGGGGGTGGTTTTTGGCACTCTTCTTTTCACACTTGCATAACTTTCTAAAAGCAGCCCTGAATTTCTGGGACATCAGGTTGTAAATGATGGGGTTGATGGCACTGTTCAGGTAAATGCACATCCGACAGAAGAGGAGGAACCAGATGTTCAGGTATGGAGGGTCCATGAAGGAGTTCACTACCACCAGCGTGCGATAAGGCATCCACAGGAGGGCAAAGAGGACCACGACAACAGCCAGCATTTTGGTCACCTTTCGGGTGCAGTTATGCAAAAAAGAAAAATAGTCAGATGAGGCTAAATCTCCAGCAGAGCCTTCCTACCTGAAAACAATTGTGCAGACAGCTAATTCAAAGTCTATGTATCACTCACATCTCTCTTTAAGCATTTATAATAAGATTTAAACAGGTACGTACACTATGGGACTCTCTAGTCCTCTCTGATCAATTTTGTTCCATGAAACCAATTTTGCGTAAATAAAACCCTTAAATGATGGGTTTTCACCTAGCATTTAAGCTATGGAAACTCTTCAGGACAAGCATACACTAACCTAGAAATGAGTTGGAAATAGTCAAGGGAAATTCTGTAATAGAAAGCAATTTTGAAAATTGCGCACAGGAAATCAATGGAGAAACCAACCTGCGCAAAGGTGAGATCCCAAGGTCTGCGGCCACTGTGGGGTATGTCTCAACTATCTATCCCAGAGGGACTGACCTCCTACACCACCTACGCTGTTTCCATCGAGAGCCTCCCAGTACAGCGCAGCAGCACTGGCAGCAGAGGAGAGCGTCTGGAGTCTTACACAAATTCCTCACTCATGCTGGTAGGGGAGATACTTAGCTAATTAATATGGGTTATTTTAATTTGCAGCACACTAGGGAAGTACTACATTAACATATTAGGAACAAGGAGACATTGAGAATTCAGAAGTGGGTGGTAATTGCCCTCAGCTGGACTCAAGCTTGATTAAGAAAATGTTTTTTGCACTGAAACTCCAGTGATCCAAATAATTTTGACAGCTAGTTCTAGTAGGTGACAATCATCTCAATCATCTCCAGCAAATACTTACACAATAGACATGTCCTCAAGGAGGAGAGCATGAGTAAATAGTGGTGCCGCATGCATATTAAGGCAGTGGTGTTTCAAATGTCAAGAAAGAGGGTTGTGCAGTTTGTCCAATTCTCTATAAGGAAATAAGCTCTTAGATCATGTTCATACTCTCTCAGCTTTTCTTGTAGTACTTTTTTTTTTTTTTTTTTTTACTGTTGCAAGCAACCATGCCTTCCTGAAACGCTTTGAGTGGAAATCCTGATTGGTGGCTGGCAGTGGCAACAAAACTTTCCCCACAAGGAAGAGGAACTGTTTTCAAGCTGAAGCCAAAACAGAAATGTTTTGCTGTGTGCGGTTTATTGGGAAAGTGAGGACACTTCCCAGAATAAGAGCTTACAAAGATATTGTGAGTTCTTAGGCTGTTGCTAAGATCGCAACGTGCTTGCTGTCCCAGTCTATTGCCTTCCGGAAAGATATAGGAGATTCAGTAAAAGGTAACTTCAGAGCTTTTCAGTGCCTTGCTTGCAAGGGCTGGCTGGATTCAGAAAAGTGAGTACCATCTCGCAAGCTTTTGGCTCCCAGCTATCCCATCTGGCATGGAACTGCTATGGTGATGCCTGTCTTTTTTAGAAATATTCCTCAGCAGATAGCTTGGGGAGCAGACAGCAGCAGTTTCAGCAGCACTTGGTGCACACTTGACCATGACCAACTCTCTAACCGCCAGCATGGTTGTTACCGCTGAGGGTCCCATGCCGGGCAAGACTGACTGGACTGCCCCATGCCAGGAGCAGCAGTGTCTTTGCGCTGGTGCTGAGACTGTATTGAAGCGGTCTGCCCTGCAAGACCTGGTAACAGAGAGCTCCAGGGTACCAAATCAGCACAGCAAGGGGCAGGTCTCGCCTCGTGTCTGTACGCTGCACAGGCGGCGCGTGTGAACGGGACCTGCGTGCTCTGCTTCTCTGTCTAAACCTCTTTATCTGTGATTCTGTGATTACAGCAAATAGGCATAAAGGATGCCAGTGATACATACAGCATAAATAAAAAAAAACTTTTTAAAAAAAAAAGGATATTATTTGCCCCAGCTGGTGACGAAAGAGGAATGAAGTCTTGAGAATGAGGATGAGATGGATTTCATGGCAATCCTGATGTGTCTTTGTAGGTGTCACCTTGGGTGTTTTTACTGATAATGACAATGAAGCTGATGAACTCGATGCTAAAAGTTTGTAATGGATAAAAAGAAAAAAATACAATAACCGCAAGAACTATTGTTACCAGTTAATGGGAAAAGATATATAACATGATAGAGGCTAGCACACCACTGGGAGAAGTAATGGCTATTGTGAGAAATTAATCTGAGAGAGACAGACAGGGAGCAGCTGAGTGCAGAGACCCAACTCCGCAGCAGAGCCATTGAGGCTATTTCTGTCTATATAGGAAGAGCTCAGATCATACTGACAAACCTGGGTACTTTTGCCTGCTTTTCAGATTTGTAAAGAGATTTGCTCTCACCATATCTGGGTGCATCTGAGAACCCGAATGCAGCTGATTTGAACAAAATGGCGATAGTCAGCTGAACCCTACAGCAAAATGCAACCAATTCCTCCTCTTAGGAGCTCCTAAGTACAATTTCAGTCAGCATTTAGTTCCCCTCAGCTAAGGAATTTATTCAGATCGATCCTCCTGGAAGGTTTGGCAGGCTCCATGTTTTATACAGCTGATCCTGAGTCTGATGGCCCCTTAGTCCAGCCTGAAGGGGCCCCTTGCCAAAGGGACGTCTCTGGGACAAGGGAGGTGGGAGTCTATCAACTTTAGCAGTCCTCAGCAGCAGGTTCACTGCAAAATATGTCCCATGAAAGTGAAATACTACACCTACGCAGATCGTCACTGAAACACAGACACTTGTCACTCAACATAACAGTTGTCTCGGTGCCCAAGGTGCAAAACAACCCACCTCGGGGCTGCGCAGAGTAACCCCCTGGACTTGTGCCCTTAGCTCTGCTCTCTGGCAAGTGTCACTTCTGGATAAGAACTTTCTATAGGGCTGACATGTCTCCCTTAAAGCCAATAGATTAATGTTGCTTTCTTGTGACCCTTAAATGTCTTTGACTTTTTGACTGTTATAACTCTCTGCCTTGTTTTATTGCTCAGAGAACCACAGTGTTTGCGAATAGTAATCTACACACTTAATAGTAGCAACAGTGACAGAGGGAGGGCATCTTAATAAGGCTGAAAAGTAAGTTGGTTCCAGTAATTTCTGAGACCACGGGAAATTAAATATGGAAAAGAACTAGTGATTCATCTGCCTTTTAGCCATAACTGCCCCTGCTTTTCAGCCGGTTGTTATGGAAATGCCAGCAGACCCAGCACGCACTCGCCCCAGCTTCGGCCTGATTTAGTATCTGTTTGTTCCCAGAGCACCTACTCCCAGACTACAGAAGCTCTGTGATCAAAAGAGTACTTCCCAATACACATCCTAAAGCCCTTCAAAAATGTTATCTTTGCCCCGTGAGAGGAAACTGCCTGTAGAAACAACGCTGTAAGGATTTATTGCCTCTCTCTTCCTAAATGCATTCAGTCCTCTCCTAGGACACTGTGTCCAGACTGCAAGATGAGATGGGCATCCCTGCCCTGAGCCTGCTGGAACACTGAAATACGCTTTTTAAAGTCAGCTATCGGTACGGACCACGTTCTCCTAGGTGTTACCTGCGCAGAGCTGTATATGATGCAGTATGCCTCCTCTGCTTACAACGGAGCATCTCAAACTCACTTTCATATTTCCATCAAGGGGAATGAAATGCTCCAACATCATTGTCTCTATGCCTGGAAACCCGTTTCCGTGCCTCACCTCACTTTACCTTCACAGGGATAGTAGTTATAGCACACCTCAGATAAGTGTGTTTTCCTGTGGCTATGCTTTAGGCAGCTCATTTATGCCCTTTCCTAGGCTAATGGAGGAGGGCAGAAGTAGAACCTTTTTTTGTTTTGTAAGTTTTTCCAAAAATCACAAGCATCAAAGAAGTATCATGAGGAATCACAGTGGTCTAGGGCTTCCTAACCTCTCATTTCTAATGCTCTAGTGATAAATGAACCTAATCAGCACTGGAGTGGGCTTGGGAGAACACAAAGACATTTATCCCTTGAATTACGATCCAAAAAAGACAGAACTTTGCTGTAGTCTCAAAGCATCCCCCCAGCTCAGCAGAGAGCAACTTCTTGAACAACTGTTTTACAACTGTGTTAATGCAGTGTGTACTTACAACGGCAATAAAGGAGCTATGGAGAGAAGCAACACAAGGTTTTGTAGAGAAAGATGAGATATTTTGCTAGATTAGTTGATATAACTAAAAAAATGCTTGAGGAGTTAAGGCAGTGTTTTAAGTTGCTGATTACATCCTGTTGGCCAAAGTCAAGGGGCAGCTCTAAGTCCACCAGGCTGCTCCATTGGCCAAGCTAAGTACAATTCCCAGAACAACCCCCCCTTCTCAGTACGAAGGGATTGGCGTCTTGGGCCCCACTACAGTCCTTAGATCTGTTCCCTTTTACAGCGTGTGTGAAACTGCCTCCATGCAGCCTCACCCTGCCTGGCTAATGGCCAGATATTCCTCCCCACCAGTGTCGCCCTTCCTCCTCCAGGGCACCATCCTCTTGAATTTCAGCGTCTTGTTTAGGAAACCCGCACCCTCTAGTGGCCCTTCACCAGCAGACAAAACGCACTTTTGAGGAGTCTGGTGTTCACATCTACAGCACTTCATTTCTGTAGGTCTTCATTTCTATAGACATAGCAAAATCCGTGCCTTGCCTTGCCCTGCTCCAGACCTGCGTGTTTTAGAGGCAGCAGTGAGGGAAAGCCAGCACCTTCACACTCAAAAAATCAAGCCGTGCAACAGGGAGACTGTCCAGGAGCACCCAGGGCAAGTCCTATGGCTGAACTGCAGATCTCCACAGTAAAACACCCCCAGCCATCCGAGCTCTGTATAGTCAATGGAGAAAAATGAGGATCTCTGGGGTATCCCCTGCCAGGTACCTCCTGGGGGAGTGTATGCATGGTGCCTGGAAGAGCCTGTCCCCTGTGGGCTGGAGGTCAGCGGACCCGCGCAGATGTGGTCGTCTACATCTCGGTCAGGCATTTGCAGGGTCGGGCTCCTGCTGCGTCACATCACTCAGGAAACAACCTGCCACGTGCACGTTCTTGTGAAGCATTCGCTACACGTGTGGCTCTTGCGAGACAGCAACGACGGTATTGCTGTTTTGGCCCTGAACTTGGAAACACGTTTTCTAATGTTGTTTTTAGCATTTTAGTCTATTTTTGGCAATCACATTTTTAAAGAAGTTATACACCTCTACAGGAAAATTACCTTAACGCTGCCTACTGGTGGCACACATGCCACCTTTGTAGCCCCCTCCTCGCCCTTTCAGTTTGGAGACCTCCAGCATTTGTTACTAGAGCAGCTGCCGATGCTGTACCCGTGCTCGTGACAAGGCTCTTTAGCAAGGAAAACCTTGGAAACCCCCGGTGACGTTTTCAGGCGCTGTCAGCACGCCTCTGGAGAGCGTGCTAGGCAAAGGCCTTAGCCCAGGAGGCAGCTCTTTCCTCTCTGCCCTGGCCACAGGTGATTAATGAACAAGTAAACCGCTTACAAGCTCCAAAGCCAGCATCAGCTGTGGTGAAGCAGCGTCCGTGGTACAATTTGAGATGCAGTGGTGTTTCCTCCCATTTTGGGGGGAGCAATGCCATGGCTGGGGCAAGGCGCTGCAGCAATCTGAACAGAAACTCAGCTAGGGACCAGGATCAGTGCCCTTTCCTGACGAAAGCATTGTTTGAACAACAGAAAATTTTAACTTTGACTCATCCTAACGCAGACTTTGCTAACACCTTTTAAGCTCTCACTAGCAAGACTGTAGGGCCCAGACCAACAGCCTGTCACTCAGTTACAGGATAAGCAGCTGATGGCACAGTCGTGATTTCTTTCCCCATCACTGCCTCAACACAGACTGCTTTGGAGAGCTGCTGGTTTGCAGTCAGAAGGATGCATTGAACAAAATGTGGCTGGAAGCCCTGGGAAATAAGAGTCTGGCCCAAGACACTTCCCAGCACACAGGGTTTCGCACATCTCTGCTTCCTTCCTTTACCGCAAGAAGAAACATTTGCAAGGAACCAGCACCAAAGTGCTCTGCAGTGGCCTCCAGGTCCTCCGCGCAAAGAAGCATCTGCTGTGGAGCTGGCACAAGGCTGCCATCGCCTCTCCCTCCTGCAAAGCAGCTTCCTCAGCAGCCAGATGGGGAGAGATAGCAGTAAAGTGTGAAAATGGTATAAAGTCTCCCCATACCGCAGGGGCAGATAAAGAAATGGTTGGGGATGCCACATGTACGCTGATATTTATTCAAAAATATCTGCTTGGGCTTTTTTAACCTTTAGAGGAAAGCCCTCTCCCCGGGCCCTGCGTACAGGTTCGGCCTTAATCCTTGGTTATTGGCACACTTCTCCCGGTGGGCTGGGGCAGGCAGCTCCCAGCCCCTGGAGATGCTGAGGGAGGATGGTCCCTCACCTCCTACCATACCAAGGAGCCACCTGGGACTCACCCCTACCAGCAGCTTGGAAAAGGACGTTCTGGTCCACCTTGCCAACCAGAATTTGATAGATTGGGTCCAGGATGCTCACTTATTTTATGCTGACAACTGCTGTGGTATCAAGGAAGTACTGGTATCTAACAGTACCCTGGTCTGAAGTCAGCATTATGAATGCTAAAAATATGCCCTGAACTGGGTGTAAGTTACATTGCTTCTCACTCACTGGCCTTCGAAGGGCTTCACTGAGCTAAGTACTTCCAAATACTACAACAGTAACAATCACACACACTAACAACCCTCTCATCTCTGTCTGCAAGGGCTTCCTCTAGTATGTGTGGATCAAAACTTGGCAGTGTGGCTGTGAGGGAGCCGCTGCTTTCTCTCCTGGACAGGCAGCAGCCTCACAGCAGGCTCTCAGGTGCTTCAGCTGGGCTTTTTATAAAGCCAAAAGCTAGAGAATAATTCCGCAAATCAACAGCTAGCTTCCTGGCTCTGGGGTTAATGACTCGCTTCCACTTCTCTTTGTAAACTCTAATAATCGAATCAGGCTCTCAGCAATTTGCTGCTTAAAGCTGGATGGCTCTCAGCTAAATATCGAAAGGGAGTTTTCCATCTCGGAGGCATATCAGACAACAGCAGAGCCATGAAAGGAGCTGGGGCAGCATGAGGCATCCTACCACCAAAACTTCACATCTCAAGAAATGGTTTGAACATGTCAGCTAGAAGCCAAGTTTGTCTGTGTGGGCCTCGTCCTGTATGAGCTCTGCTTCTACGTTACACTACCATAAGTTCATCTGAGAAGATTTTTGAAACTAGGATCAGAGAAAATAATCTCTTGAGAGCCTGCCAAGTTCATGCTAGAGCTTTTCATTTACCAGGTGAAGGCAGGCAGTCAGCTCACCTCCATCAGGACTGGCCAGAAAAGCAAGGAGAGAAAAAGCATGCGTGACGGGACAGCAGGACCTACGCTGTGTCTGACAGGAGTCTCATTGCCCGCCGTCTCCTCGGAGCCCTTGTCTGATCTGGGCCAGCGAGACGACCCTCCGCTGCCTCTCTGCTGAGGCTTTCCCGGAGCAGGGCTGTGCGCGGCCGCCGGGGCCAGCAAAGCTCAGCCGGACACTGCCAGCCTCTGGCAACAGCTTGGGGTTTTTTACCCAAGGCTCCTCGTGACTCTGTCTCTTTTTTCTATCATTTCTATAATCAGAATACTGGTTATCATAATCAATACTGTCATTACATGCATATTTTTATATAAGGAGATAGGTGTGGATTACATAATGGAGATAATAAGACTCTACCTTTCCAAAAAAAACTTCCAGCTTTACGGTTTAAAAGCTCAATAACATATCCATTGTGGGACTGGCTTGGAGTAACTAGAGACCTGGCTGCCAAGCACCACGTCCAGCCTACTAAAGCAGCCAGAGACTATGGAGGAGCAGTCAAGTACTTTAAGAGAAATCACTACTTGCACAAAGCCTTCCTGTGCTAGAGGGAAAGAAAAAGCTGAAGTGAGAAGACTTAGTTCATAAAGAAATACACATTTCGTGGAGCTGTTCTCTCCCTCTCAGTGACTCTGAATCGTCTCTCCCAGGGAGTGGAGGCTCTTGTGCTAGTTAAGTAATGAAATACTGAATTGTAAAAGTCAGAGCTCTAAGACAGACTGAAGTCTGTCTAAGGCTGGCTGGAAATCAGGTCCCGCTTGCTCAGGATCACAGCAGAACGGCTAACGTCAGAGGCTTAAGCCAAACTCCCAGATCCACACCTTTCTTTTAAAACAGCCGATGTCTCAGCTTATTCAAAGTTTGAAACCTGAACTGCAAGGTCTCCTGCAACCTGCCAGGTAACAGGCAAGAGAGTCCTGTCTCCAGACCCTGGCCTGTCTAAGGAGATGGGGACAAGACAGTAAATCATCCATGTGGCAGAGAGCGAGAGTAGAAACAAGGGCAAAAGAAGGTGGGAAGGAGATGGAGAGAGAGAGAGAAAGCAGGCAGAAGGCAGAGGAGTCACTGAAACTGAGAACAAGCTGCTGTCTCACAAAGGCAGGTTCCCAGTGCCAGGAGCCCGGGGCTCCGAGGGCAGGGAGGGGGGGAGTGCCAGCTCTCCCTTTGCTCCTCTAAACCCCAGGCTACCTGCACAGGACTCTGCTGGGGGAGGGGGGGGTGAGTCCCACTGGCATAGTGGGATCTAGCACTCCCCTCCTCAGGGGCGCAATTAGTCACTAATTATCCAGCTACCTTCCTTGCTTCAAGAGAGGTGGAGCCCTGCTGTCCTGCCTCTCCCAAGTCACACTGGAGTCCAGCTCTGCTCCCTGGAGCCCAGCCAGAGCCGGGGGACACATCTCCACTGCTGCGCAGGCAGCCAACCCCTCCCAGCACCGACCACCAAGGGAAATAAAATATTGGGGTGCCCAAGCCCTGCCAGAGTCCCCCCTTCTGAGCACAGAGACCTTTCAGCACTGTCTCCAGCCCAGCCCTGCCCCAGCCCGGCACGGTGCCCCTACCTGCTTGCGGGAGCTGAGGGCCCCCTTGTTGCCCTGGCAGGAGAGCTTGCGGGAGCCACCCTGGTGCGTGGAGCCCAGGCAGGCATGCTGCAGCGTGGTGGGCAGGGGGCTCACGAAGAGGATGCGGGCAATGAGTCCGTAGAGGACAGTTGCCAGCCCCAACGGGATGAGGTAGAAGATAGCAAAGTCCAAGAAATAGATGGGCATGTAAAGGCTTCTGGAGACTCGGTAGCCACAGCTGACCTGTGCCCCATCCGAAAAGGTGACCTGGGACGTGTCCACCAGGAAGAACCACATGAGGCAATAGAGGGAGGTGAAGAGCCACAGCGAGGAGATGATGCGCTTGGCTCGGGATACGGTGCACAGGAGCTGCGCCTTGATGGAGTGGCAGATAGCGATGTAGCGCTCCACTGTGAAAGCGGTGATGGACCAGGCTGAGATGTTGATGCCCAGGTACTGCAAATAGGTGATGCAAAGGCAGCCAGCATAGCCATACACCCAAGAAGCCATCACTTCCGAAATGTTGGGCAGCCCCGCTGCCAGCAGGACGATGAGGTCGGCCACAGCCAGGCTCACCAAGTAGCAGTTGGTGGGGGTCAGCATGTGCTTGGTGCGGAGCACCACCAGCACCACCATAGCGTTGCCCGCGATGCCCACCCCACAGACGAGCAGCACCAGCAGGATGGTCACCACCTGCAGCTCCAGAGGGTGCTGGGGCATCTTGCCCAGGGTCTGGTTGCCGCCGGGGGGGCCCAGCGCGGGGCCCGGGCGGGCTGTGCCGTTGTCCATGGGCGCAGTGGGCCGGGGGCTCCTGCGTGCCCCGACCCGGCTCCC